TGAAGCAAATTACGTGTGGAATATTATTCGCTTCGATGGATTTAAATAAGCATTTAAATATTTAGTTGCTTTAGTGTAATCAAATTAAAAATTTTATATTTCTTTGTGTGAATGTTTATTTTCTATAGTGGTCAGTTTCCCAGAATTCTATTAGACGGGAATATTCTTCAAAGACACAAATTTCTGTTTGCAAACTATTCATGTAATTGAAACATTATCTAATTATTCATTTTTGATTATATGGAAATTGTTCTGTTATTCTAAAGCGTGTTATTTCAGGACATACGCTGTTATGCTAGAAATAAATAACTGATACACCTTGGAATACGAGTTTTTAATTGACAAGATTTATTGCTTGGTCGCCTTGCAAAACACTTTATCTCAGATATAATTATATTTACACCGTCAGTGGAAATTTATGGAGGCTATTCGTTGCCAAAAATCCAGCCTTTGAAACTTGACAATGCATACTTCGGTTCTACTAAACAGATTAGTAAAAATCTAATTGTCGATCCGAGAGTTACATACTGCACTGGTATTAAGCATTTATATTATCTCGATTTGATAAAATGGAAGCTGTAAACATGCAACTTAGATAAATTTTACATTCTAACGCGATTAACATTTGTTAACGATTTTGCAACTTCCATATATGAAATTATCACGGAAATAGATGAAAATTAATAGGCGGAGCCAATTTTCACGAAAGAAGAATATAAAGAGAGGTAACTCTTGCTGGTACAAAAATATTTCAAATTATATAAGACTGTTATAAATTTCACATACATCAACTGCATTAAAGTTGACTTTGAATATCCTCTGATTTTGTTAAACAGGATATTCAAGTAATGCAAAATTGGTAAAGATATTATGTAATAATGTAACAACGTTTATACTGATAATAAGCAAAATAATATGCAAAAACTTAAGTTGGTAAATTTACATAAGGGAATGTTTCCCATATATATTAGGACACAAATCAGGTATGTGTACCTTCATACGTAATAACAGTAGTACCCTTCCCCTTGTTTTTGACATTCAGCAAACAGTAATAGAATTCGATACATGGAAGTCATTTTTGGCAACACGAATAAAGAGAAATGAACAGTAAATCTGTGCTTTTTTCTTTATAGGGCTATATTGGGTTGTAGAAAACCCCAAATTCTTGACCAAGTGTATAACCACGGAACTATCTAAAGAACTATCTAACTATCGATAATTCCGTTGTATAACCAAAACTTGTGAAATTGTCCTATTTTAATGTTGAAATAAATATTCAGTGTATCCTAGTATCTCTGTTTACCTCCATTGGGAGGTATTTTGAGTCATAGGATGTGATTAAGCCATTTATTATTGAATATTTGTAAGCTGACGGAGGTTAAGGTCTTCTTTTATGCATTGTACTGAATCAATAACAACTCTAAAATCTGTGTATGCATACTATCAATAGCTGTTACCTAGACTTCCTTTCTATCTGATCAAAAGCAGAGAACTATTTCTAAGTACATGACATACTACACAGAATATTTATTAAGTTTTGTAAGTGATGGCTTACCTAGAGATAAAATAAACAAGGTATACATAAATTGATAATAAACATACATACATTTGGACTCATTTAAATATTATCATCAAAAAAATGGTAAAAATTGGAAAATATATCTATACAGTATAGTAAAAATAAAAAGTTATGTACGAAAGGGTACATACATACTATTGTAAAAAGTTTTTTCTTGTCAAATCACACGCTAGAATTAAGGTTACTTATGTAATAGTAAATGCTACTACTAGGAAATAGTATTTAGTCGTAAAAGTCTCTATCACATGTTGACTTGAAAATGACCTAATCAATAGTTTTTACTTCCTTGAAAATATTTAAATTTACTGGTGAGTTGTTAGCTCATCTGTCACAAAGTGACATGGTGAGCTTTTGTGATCACTTTTCGGCGGGCGTCCGTCCGTCGTCCGTCCGTCAGTTGTCCGTAAACTTTTATTTTAAACGACATCTCCTCATAAACCTATAAGACAATTTCATCCAAACTTCACAAGAATAGTCCTTTGGTGGTCACGTTTAAAAATTGTTCAAAGAATTTAATTCCATGCAGAACTCTGGTTGCCATGGCAACCGAAAGAAAAACTTAAAATATCTTCTTTTAAAAATCCCAAAGATGTAGAGCTTAGATATTTGGCATGAAACATCTTCTAGTGAATGTCTTTCAAGTTTGTTCTTATAAAAGCCCTGGCGTCAAAATTGGCCCCGTCCCAGGGAGTCATTGCTTTTCCTTTATATGTAAAAAAACTGAAAGAGCTAGAGCTTAAATATTTGGCATGAAACATCTTCTATTGAATTTTTTATTGCTCTTCCTTATATGTCTATCGTAAAAACTTTAAAAAATCATCTTTTATTTAATTACCCATAAAGCTAAAACTTAGAAATTAAGCATGAAACATCTTTTAGTGAGTGTCTACCCAATATGTTCAAATAAAAGCCCCAGGGTCAAAATTGGCCCGTCCTTGGGTCTGACTTTCTTTATTTGTCTAAAGTAAAATCTTAAAAAGTCTCCTTTTAAAAACCCAAAGAGCTAGAGCTTAGATATTTATCATGAATTATCTTCTAATGGGTGTCTACCAAGTTGGTTAAAAAAGACCCTGAGTTAAAATTAGCCCCGCCCCAAGGCCCTATATACAGGTGAACGAATTCAGGGCCATCATGGCCCTCTTGTTATTATTGTTTTTTTAGTTTCTTTTACGAGGAAATGTGGTATCTTCAACTTTTCAAAACTTATATGCCTATAATCATTTAAGTCCGCTGATGTTGATTGAATAAAGGCAGAATGGCAGTCGTGCAAGTGAATTATGTTTGGTGAATAACAAAACACATAAAACATGTGGTAAACGGAAACTACGCCGGGCTTGTCGCTGACGGTAAATACCGAAAATGAGCGGATAAATACGTTTAATTACGATGATGTAGTGTGCTGGAAAATGGGCGGAGCTTATTTTATCTCCTATTGAAAAACGTATAAAGCTGGATAATGCTGATCCGAATCATGATGGTTCAACAATATAAAACTAAGAAAGTAACTTCTGTTTTGTCGGCGTATACACGAAAAATGAGTATTCCGCATGTTATTATGAAGAATTGGTATGGCTACTATCAGAAAAAATAATAAAATTAATGTTTTGTGGTTTTGTTGAAATACATGTTTACAATGTTAAATCGGCAAGCTCAATCCAAGAATGCATCATTGGAGTTTACATAAAAAGACTACAATTGTATTTTGTCCGTAAACAAACTGTTCAACTCATATCAACAATGCTGGATTACTGTCAACGAATAGCCTCCATAGAAATTATCTTGAAGTAAGCAGTTGTGACAACTGTGCTAAAGTTCAATTCAGGACATTAAAAAAAGTTAACATTGATTTACTGTAAAATCTTAATATTTAGACGTGATTTAATTTTGACGAAAATTTCAATTTTATTATTAAATTTTATTTTCTTAGTAAAGGAAAAGGGATGTGATGTACTCTTATAAGTTGGTATATACCTCTACTCTAATATAGCTAAATGTCTCTATGTATAATGAGTCAGCTATAGTCTGCTATAATTAAATCTTAGAACTAGATGTGTACGACATTCTTTAGTAAGAATGTGAAACATGATGAGGTTTTTAGCGTGAAATATGACATTATCGTGTTATGCTTTGTTTGCATATACTTGAATAATATTATGGATTTCGATAAGATGTACAAATTGTCAAGTTCTAATTTTAGCAAATCAGCTAGAAGCCAGTTTTCAAAAATTTCAATAGTTGACATTTTCAAAGACGGATTAAAACATATCTGTAAAGAAAGCAATATCTAATTATATTCAGGATTTACACGACGAATATATAACAGAAGTAGCTAGAAGTTATTGCAATGGAATTGCGTCCAGAAGATGTTGATGCATTAAGCTTAGAAGATGCTTCAGACTGGTTGGATAAAAGAGGTATATCATTTGAACTCTTAGAGACACATGGAGAGGTTTTAGATCTGATAAAGGCAACAGTTGCTTATGCTGACTCTAACACCAGAGAGAAACATATAAATGTAAGTTTAGTGTACAGTAACTTTACATCACACACATCTTTTGAAATGTATAGAAAAACATCTGTAAAGGGACGATGTCTTAGGTCTAAGGTACGAAAACAGAAATAAAATGAAAATTGCAGACTTGGTTTCATTTGGCATTTTCATGAAAGAGGTCGAAATATGTTCAAATTACCAAATGTCACATCAGATGCATATTACCTTACATAATCCATTAATTTTCAAGTTTCGTTTCGTAATATTTTCTTTTTTAAAACGTATTGCAGTAAAAACAACAACAACAACAATGAAGTTTAACATTTTCATAATCACTTTATAAAAAGTGCAAAAGTCATCATAATGTATCACAGTTTCAAATTAATGTAGAGTTTGGAGTTCATGTTTTAATTAGTCCAATAAACCCATTATTTACATATGCAAATTTATGTTATTAGGATTAAGATATCCCCCATCTTTGGAATTTTCCTGTTCATTTTCGTGTCCATGTTGGTCAGTTAAGACATTATTTTTCATAAAGTTTAATATCAGGGATTGAATTCTATAAATATAACTAATTTGAAATGGAATGATACTTTTAATATTATCTGTAGAAAGATAAACGGGTAGATACCGAGATGCAAATGTTTTGAATGAATACAATTTTTATTGAAAAGTAACAGTTATATGGTGTTTAAAATAGTAACTCTAATAACAAACATTTTGTACCAGCCATACGTGTGTAACAGCCTTTTCACAAATTATGTTTAATCTAAGGCAACAGACAATTTATTTGATTAGGATGTGAATATACAGTTAACGAAGTATCGCCCTGGAACATTATAAATATTATAATATAATTTTAAACAGAAAAAAAGTTTCTGTTTAACTAATACTAGTAGCTGATTTGATACTTCTTGTTACATTAAGAGCGAGGAGTTGATATCTGACGCTATCAGTGAGGATGGTACCATGAAACATGATTTGCGTAGAGTATATGAAGAAATTAAAGTGTTTGCCAGAGACAGTGCAGGGGACGAACTTAGAGATTATATCAACAATATTTACACTGATATAGATGCTCGTCTAGACGGAAACATTAATGACTTAAATTACTCAGAGAATGCCATAATTGTTGCAGGTACGTAACATTAAAAATTGATATGTAATTCACTATTCTTGCATAAAAACTGCGCTCACAGGTATACATTTACGGAAAAGAAAGCGCGAATTGACGGGTAAAAGCACGCACGCGCTAACGCGCCGTTGTTTCATCTTCTGTCTTCTCCTCGGTACGTGTTCATCGTTGATGTCTGACGCTATCAGTGAGGATGGCGCTATGAAACATGATTTGCGTAGAGTATATGAAGAAATTAAAGTGTTTGCCAGAGACAGTTTAGGGGACGAACTAAGAGATTATATCAACAATATTTACACTGATATAGATGCTCGTCTAGACGGAAACATTAATGACTTAAATTACTCAGAGAATGCCATTATTGTTGCAGGTACGTAACATTAAAAATAAATATGTAATTCACTATTCTTGCATAAAAACTGCGCTCACAGGTATACATTTACGGAAAAGAAAGCGCGAATTGACGGGTAAAAGCACGCACGCGCTAACGCGCCGTTGTTTTATCTTCTGTCTTCTCCTCGGTACGTGTTCATCGTTGAGAAGACACAGGACATCGGCAGATGATTGAAGAACCAATGCTACGTGTCAGACGGCAAGTTCGCTCGGAGTTTCGTTTAAGGCGGCACGACATAGGTTCTCAATGACCGCCGTACAGTGAACTACTTTCGGCTCAAAATTAATATTTTTGGCTAATTCGTGGAGATTGCATGGAGATAAATTATCACCACTTTGTGCTTCAAAATTAACTTTTTAAGGGCATGACTGGTGACATGTCCGGGGTCCGTACTCGACAGCAAAAGCTGCATTTTGTGCCTTACCGGGCGGATGGACCCTGATGAAGCATAGACTACAAACATATATACACATCATTGTTGCAATTTTTATTGATATTCATGACCCCGTTTGTTTCATTATCTAGAAAGAACTGTCAAATGACATTGCAAAGCAAAGAATAGCGCCCTGCGGGTTCGTTTATTTTCTGAAGATAGTTATGCACAAAGAGGTGCATTAACCTTCAATAATTCTCCTTATTTAAGCAGATTGTTCTGTTTGTTCATCAATTACTATAGACTGACTCGACGTTTTTAAATATTTTTTCTAGGTTTTTCTCTCTCTCTCTTCATATTATTTCTTTAAATGCAGTTTCACAGGCGAAAATTGGACACATGATTATGTAATTTTATATACATGTAATTGTATGCTGTTTGCTGTTTTTGTGTCTTAATTTTATTATGCGGTAGTTTGCCGACAATGGATGAAAATAGATGAATGCAATGAATGAATCAATCGGTATACAAATGTAACTCTTTTCTTTCTAAAGGTGAAACTGGTGCAGGGAAGAGCAGTTTTCTAAATCTTCTGATAGGAGCCGATGTTTTGCCATGCTCCCTCCTTTCCAACACTTCAGCAATCTGTCAAATACACAATAGAAATTTCAAACAATTTAGCGTACTTATGGAAAATGGAGAAAGTGAAACATTTGATATACTTGGTGAAGGATCGGAAGCAGAAAAAGAACTTGTAGAGAAACTGTCTAGATTCGTCGGTCGATCAAATTATGTGTCCTCAAACAAAATCAACCATGTTGACATCTACTGGCCTGTACCTTTATTAAATGTAAGTTCTTTTTGTGACATGTGATGGCTTTTAAGTGTAACTTCTTGTGTTTTATGCCGAGTTTGAAAATATTGTCAAAGTTTATTCCTTTACAAAACTTATCCAAAATTATTTATATTTAGGTTATTTATATTCTATTACATTTTTATATTTTGATCTGTACAAATTTATTCATTTATATATTTTGAAACTGTAAAAAATTATCCAAGGTTATGGGATAACAAGTGCATAACTTTTCTGTGTTCATACATGACGACTGTTTTATCAACCTATTTATCTACTTGTTTAATAAGAACACAATTCTTAAAATGGAAAACACTCACTGTTCTTATTTGTTTTCTTTAAACTTGCGTTATTTAAAATGCCACAATAATTTCTATAACCATTACCTAATGAACACGCTTGATAATATATAAATATCTTCATCATGATGAACTTTACGTCTGCTCATATTTACTTCTTGAAAGGTTTTGTGTATATGTTATATCACTACAATATCTGATTTCACTGGATCGGCAACGTTTAAATTTGGTCTCACTTGTATTCCTTTGATCTTAAGCTCATATGTCTTTTGCATTCCTAGTAAACTATTTTATTTTCACACAGGAAAATGTGACAATTGTTGATTCGCCTGGTGTAGGAGAAAGTGAAGAAATGACAGAGAAGCTAGTTAAATACCTCCCAAAAGCTGTTGCTTTTATATATATTGTAAACAGTGCAAATGCTGGAGGAATCCAGGAAGATACTGTATATCAGAGAATATTTGTTTATAATCATATGAATAAATTACCAGAATTATTACAAAAACTGAAAATGTTAGAACATGCTTCAACTTGCAATAAAATGTTGCCTCATCATAATTTAATACAATTTATAAAAATTAGATAATTATGGTGCTTCTGCTAGTGTAACGTATAAATTATGAATTGTTTAGTAAACATTTTGTATTTTCTAAATTCTAATGATCTAATAATCTCTAAAAGAGTTCGACATTGACACAAAAATATGTAAGTGCAAATTTCAGCCTCAGTTTAATGAAGTCTCACGCCCATAGCACTGATTAAATCAGAACTCAATCGTTATTACTAAAATTGTTGGGGTCAATCATTTCAAGGGACCATACCATGCAATTAAACTGAAATGCAGAATAGAAAACATTTTGTAGCCACCACAGAGAGATTAAAACCTGCTGTGAGTATAAACATCTGGATCCAGTAAGCAATGAAACAAACTGAAGTAGTTGACTTAAGCAAGAATGATTAAACATTATTCTGAACCACACATTAATTATCTACCATTTATGCCATGATGGCAATTAAAATCTACGCAACATGATAGTTTCAGTAATATAGAAACCTACGCAAGTTTATCATAAAAACAATAATATTCGTGAAACCTTAGTGAAACGTAATTGCCAGCACATAAATTTACGTTATTGATTTGACGTCATATTTGTTATGTATTGATTAATTATTAAAATTTTCCGGAACGCGTAAAATAGATATTGAAGATATAAACCATGAATTGTTGTTGTTGGACGATATATGTTTAATGATCTCAATGCCAACTCTGCAGTTTTGTATTTTTGTTTATAATCGCATAATTAAGTTAATTTAAGTTTTAAGATCGGACAAAAGTTAATAAAATATTGAATTTGTTCATTTTGCATTAACAATTAATTTATTATTCTTTTATATAAAAAATCGTCTTAATTGTATTTTTGTTATACTCGTATACAGGGTTCTATTTACAGTTTCCTTATTTGCAGATATTACAAATTATTTCGGAACAACATAAACTTGTCACAGAAACAGAACTTTCTAGTTTTGATCCAAAAAATATGATGTTTGTATGCAATAAATGGGATGTTGTGGTAAAGCGTGGAGAAACTGAGAAAACGTGGCAAGACACAGTGCGAAAACTTAAAATGACAATTCCTGGACTAACTGAGAAACATATATTTAGAATGAGTGTCACAGAGGTATTATAAAATTATATTGTTTTCAAATAAACTTGTTTGATCCTAGATATTTTAGAATTGAAATAAATATTGCTTTTTTTAAAAATGAAACACAGATAATACGTTTACCATATTTACATTTATACAGCAGCAATAAATCTGATTGTGTGGGAGACTTTGTCTTTTATATATGTATATCATAGGCTGTTAAATACAAGAGGAGCGGTATGGGAAATACTGAAATGTATCAGCATTTACTGAAAGGACTTAGTCAATTCGTCCAAGACAGTTTGGTCGCCAATATAAAGAGACATTACAGGTGGGCTTAAAGTCAACAATACATTATAGATTTATAATTCCAAAGGAATAACGGGGAATTTTAAAGGCTGCTAATCACTGTTAATTTAATATAGTCATGTTCATGTTTCTTTTCGCCTCTTAACCAAGGCTTATTGAGAATTTAAAACTTCAATAGATAAACGGGTCGATATGTATAATGCTTTTAAATATAAGGCAATGAGTTAACATGAAGATAGTGCTATAGATAATAAAAATTGACAAGAAGAAAAGTGTGAAAAATGAATATGAAAACTTCTCTTTCTGTTATTTTACAGATGGCTAAGCGTACTTGTAACAAAGATTGAAGTATACATTGTATCACGGATAAATAATGCTAAAAAATCTTCAGAAGAAAAAAACTCATTCCAAGAACTGGTGAAGTTCAGGCTTATCAAGCTAGAATTAGATTCTGAAAAGGTACATTTCTTGATTTTTGTATGTAATGGCATGCTTATACTGGTCAGATATAAACCATTTATATCTACTAGTTGATTCCAATTTAATAACTGCTTTCTTCGATGAAATATATTTGTTCGATTCATGCATTGTACGCCGTAGGAAAAGCACACTTAATCAGATTCTATTTTAGACAAACATAACTCTTAAGTCGCGGAAAACGACTTATATAGGATTATTTTATCTGAAACGTTACAAAACGCACAAATCCACAAAATTGAAACTGTTGCAGGCTCAGTTTGTTTGAACGGGTTCATCTTGATCTTATAAGGACTTATAGTGTACGTCTGTTAATTCCAGTGACGAAATCATTAATCGCAATACGGTATTCTATGAAAAATATGTACAATTGTGTAAAGCTGCTACGAAAATAAAATGGAAAGTTTTAGACTTTTTTCTTTATCTTTCATGGAACAGATAAGACAACTGCTTATTGATATAGCACGTAAGGAATGTCATATTGTGACACAACAACTCTATATTCATCTCCAAAAGGATGACGTCATTTCTTATCTTGACACGTGGACTGAAGAAGAGTCGCCCGACATAACTGTTAACGATCTTGATGTTACACGATTCCAAGCGGAAGATATGATACAGACAAGATTACTGAATGTTATTCAAACTTGGGAGAATGACACACGGATTGTGGAAAGAACAACCAAGCAGCTTACTGACTTGTTTAATAAAAAGTGCTTAGTAATATCACAAAAATGTAAAGAAGTAAGCGAAATCCTGAAAGGCGGTTCTCTCTCAGACGGAGGCGGACTTGTTCTAGGTAAGGCATTGTAAATAGGTACAATCTATATTTCATTTTGTTATGCCGGTAAAAAGACTAGTAGGTACTTTTGTTTTCTTAAAATCATTCTTGTAACCTATAGCCTGATTGGTTTTCATACCCAGTAGCATTTTTCCGATTTCTTTTCAGTTTATTTAATGTATAGGAAATGGTTTGATTTTATTGAAGATAAAAGTTTAAGTTTCATTCTATTCCATACTCACTCCTCAATAGCTGAGAATACGCCTAAAACAGAGATGTAAAACTTCCATTTTTAAGAGCTATACGGGGTCCATCTGAAATCAGATTTTTAAAGGGAGCATGATTATCTAAGTCGCATTTATAAACGCTTTATGCATCCTGAAAAAACAATGACATATATTATTAACGTCTTTCAGGTGGCGGCAGGCGCAGTGAATCAACCGAGAGTGACGAATTAGAGGGCAGCGATATTGCGATTTTAGTAGCAACTGCTCCAATATGGGTCCCTGTTGGACTTGCTGCACTTGCCATATTTGTACCTATTGGCTTAGGATACCGTATAAAAAGGGCTTTCGAAAGAAAAGAATACCGAAAGAATAAGGCAATATTTATGAAGAAATGGACACATATTGTACTTGAAGACTTACATAAAAAGGAAAATATATCTAATCTGATTGAAGGATTATACCTAAAGAGTATGATAGAGCGAATTAACTATTTGTTTTCCACTTTTTTACCGAAACAAATTGAAGCCGATAGAGCTCAAATGCTCAGCATTCTGAACGATAAAAGAAGTGCTGACCAAATTGTTTATCAATTTCAACCAAAGAAATTTAAAGTAAAGTCCATTGTCAAATCACTGCTCTTCTTTGATTTGAGATATTTAGCTGATGATGTCATTGATATATCAAAGATTCTACGGTACAGACAAATTGGAGGGGGGAGTTTTTCTGATGTATATCGGGCTACATGGAAACAGAGTGACGAAAGTGAAAAAGAAGTCGCTCTAAAAATCTTAAAAGGTCATGACATGTACTTACAGCTATGTGAGGTTGATTGTTCAAGGTATAAATATTTAATATTAATAACATAGGTGACTATAGTTTAATATGTAATATGATGCATGGTTTTGCTCGTGCATCATTAAAACAGTAAGCCATCAGGCACGCATTCCAGCACATTTTTTATTATATCGTCTGTCTATGTATGTATACATGTACATGTTTTGTCTCAAAGTTACCGTTGTGGCGTGAATTTTGTCAGACCCGTGAGAAACGTAAGACTTTACGTTCTGCGCATGTGCAGGTAGTTGTCGGACGGGGCCGTGAGAAATGTAAGACTTTCTGATACAATTGTGTGTTAACCTCGTTTAGAAGCTCATTAATTATGTTTTATTGAACATAGATTAACATATTTTAATGTAGTTTTTAATGATACCCAGCGACTTATCATTAAAAAGGAGTAGTAATATAGTCAATCAAAGCACAATTGATTATTATATAATAATTATCTAAAACATTTTCAAATTGTTATAAATGTAATGTCAAATTTTTTTAAACACAGGAAGTTAAGGCACAAAAATATAGTTGATTTTTACGGCGTGATCTTTGCTGAACGTGAACGATGTCAAGGTCGAATTAGCCTATCTGGAAATGAAATTGGTTTACCCCTATATGATGATCGGCTGATGCTCGTGCAGGAGCTATGTGATCAGAGTTTAGAGTCTTTGGTTTTTGGAACGAAGGACAAGCAGTGCGGGTAAGTATGTTTGTAATTAAATAACATACATAGTACAAGATTAAGCATGAACTATAACGTTTGTATATGATTACGTACATGAGAAGTGTTTATTTCTTCATAATTTTAACAGATATTGATACGGTAATGGTATTTCCTTATATTTATTGAAGGTCATTTTCCAAAACATTGCGACGGGGAGAAACGCATGAGTTTTTCTTCAATATGTGCTCATCGATATGTGAGGGTCTAAGCTACATGCATAGTACAGGGTACTTACACAGGGATTTGAAACTCTCTAATGTTTTGGTAAGACATATTAATATACTTATGAATTTATTACTAATTCAAAAGTAAATTTAATTTCTACACCCCCACCCCCTATGTTTTACATTGTAGCAAAGTGCTGGTTTAAATAACAAATTCGTTGTGACCAGGAATGACTAAAAGCAGTTACATGCAATTTTTTTTGTATGGCGTCATTTTACGTCTTTCATTAAAGGTAATAAATGGTGTTGGAAAACTGAGCGACTTGGGATTTGCCAGAGCAGAAGCTGTCGTTTCTGGGACATCAGCTGGTACTTTGTCGCACATGGCACCAGAACTTCTGGAGGAAAACGTGTATAGTTTCAGCTCAGATGTGTACAGTTTGGGTATTCTTATATGGGAACTTTGGTATGGTACTCGGTCTTATTCAGATGCAGATTTTGCTGGTTTCGGTGTTGCCCAATTTATCGATGCAGTAAAGCGTGGGGAGAGGCCAAAATGTGATAAGGAACATGTAATGATGCTTGAACTGATCAATTTGGTTCAACAATGCTGGAGTAACGACCCGAAAAGACGTCCAATCGTGCAACAAGTCGCCTTTGATCTGAGAAAAACCGATGAAAAATATCGGAGAGATATTTCTAGATAATTACCAAAAATACTGGACCCTGTATATTTAGTTCACTAAAAGCTGAAAGAAAAGATTAGATACGTGTTTATACTTGTAGAATATACATGTATATACTATATTGTTTTATATTGACACCAAATGACCTCGATCATTGCGTTTAACATTTAAGAAAACCAGTAAATAGACAGGTGTGGATAGCCTCTCAATTTGACACTAAACGATTTTAAAGTTAAGATACACATAAGAGGTTCCATTGTTAATTAGTATAATGGAGATAACACACATATTTTTTTGAATGATTTTGATTTTATAATGAGCAAGTTATAATTATTTTAAAATTAAATTAGGTAAAAATAGATATGATATGTAAAAATTGTAAGGAAAAGAGAAAATTGACAATTTAAGATGTAGAGAGTTGAAAGCAAAATAATAACTACTGTTTTATTCAAATCGTATATCTGTTTTATAAGCTAACGGGTATGTCAGTTATGAATGGTTCACTGCAACAATTGAATGCTTTTTTCAAACATGTTTGTGATAATTACAATTTGACGTGGTCTATGTTACATGCATAGCACAGGCTACTTACATGCTCACAGAGTTATAAAACTCTAAAAATATTCTGGTATGACATTTTAAAATCTTTATGAGTACATTTGTATATTACTAAATGTATGCTCATGCAAGTTAGTTCTTGTTTATAACATAACATTGCATGGTATAATCTTTATTTGCAAGACATTCACAAGTTTAGCAAATATACATTCATTTACAAAGGACATAAACGTATTACAATAAGTGTATACTGTTCACCGAAGAATCAAACAAATGGCGCTTTAATTGACTTACCTCTTCCGATGGATGTTATCAGTTGCTTAAATCCTACGTTGCACGCTTTCTTTTGAAATGCATAGTACAGACATTTTTAATAAATGGATTAGTATTTTAGGATTTTGCATGTCATCAGTTATTTGTTTCTAAGGTAACTGGTGCCAAATTCAAAGCCTCCATTATGAAAAAAATTTAATCATCAGTACTTTTGAAACAAGATTGTAAACTTAATTAAATAATTATGCTTTTGTTTATGTTTATGTCAATAATATGATAAAGGTTTATAATGTCAAGTTTTAAATTTCTTTTTTATAAACATTTTCTGCTATACTGTACATCTAATACCTTAATAGTATACCATCTATAGTAATGTAGTTCTAGATATAAGACAGTTTACAGTTACAATTACAGTTTGTGGAATGATAGCACCTTCGATATCTCTAAATTATAAAAAGCTTGTAGTAGCGAATGTCTGTTTATTCAATGTCTCATTATCTATCTCAAAGCTAGGAGACATTTTGTGATACTGGCGATACTGGTTTCTGCTTCCCATGACAAATTTTGCGTATTAGTGTCAATGTTTTGTTGTTGTTCATATACATTTGTGAAAATAGACAATTTTGTGAATGAAGACTTGAAAGACTAGTATTGTTTGAAGATCTTTGAAAAACATTATGCAACTTGATTCATTTGCTTGTTTTGATTGTGTGACATTTGTTTGTATTGATTTCGAAGGGATGCCTTGACAGAATTTTATGTGCCCGGTTTCCCGACCTTTTAGCATATTTTATCAATGGAGAAGTGCCCATACAATGTCAAATATAAAAAAGATATCAATGATGTAAACGCCAGTATGTATGACTATACAATAAAATGAGTTTCAAGTTTTATATCGTTTTGTTGAAATAATACCATATAAACTCTTCGAGCACATTTTCTGGAGGCTTCAATGGAAAGTCGATTTGATTTCGTTTCGGATTTACTATGATACAGTCGGGATGATTTATTTTACAATAATATCTCATAGGACGCTGGATAAAGTAACAAAGTGGCCAGATCCTCACATACCATAGGCATTTAAGACCGAGTGACGAATTCTGCTAGTATATAAAATCTATAAAATCTACGAATTTCAGTAACAAGTTCCATTGTTTCAAAACCCATAGTATGCTACCTATTAGTCCGACCTCTTTACAAATTAAGTCATTCAAAAGCTTGGACGTTTCCCTGTACGACAATATCGTGCACATTTCCTAATAATTCACCCAGTTGATAACGACAACATGTGATACAAGCAACGACGAACAAAGCAATTCACTTACAGTATGTGTACAGTATAACATAGATCATATTTTGTACTCAGTGCAGTGTTCATTGCACTACTTTTCTCTACTAACAATGGCGCAGTCATTTACCGCTACTTAGAGAAATATAGATACCTTAACTTATATCACTATGCCTTTTAAACCTAAAGAAAATCAACCGATCAAAATACGTACATATGTTAAAGAAACATACAAGTTACCAATAAATCGATTAAATAAAATTATATTATATTATATTAAAAATTAAAATTATATTTAAGAACACTAAATTTGGTAGATTACATGTTATTTGAATATTGTTAAATGAAAGATAATGATGGTGATGATGATGATGCATTAAAGCGAAACTAATTGTTCTTTCTTGTGATTATACATATACTACTACAAATCCGCGAAAGTTCGTCTTCGCAAAATGCCGACGTTGTGAAAAACGCGTAATATTGTATCCGCGAACATTTCTAGGAATACAGTATTACAGAAACAAACGAGTTATTCACATCTTGTTGTCACAATCGCGCTGCATAAACTCGCAAAACATATATGACACAAGTGTGTCTTCTTCAAAAATCATGTAATTGTGACATTCAGTTTTCGTTCTGCTATTATAACATATCTCGCATAAACAGTAGAATCATTCATATTTTGATTTAAATTACTTAAACCAACGAAACATATATGACACAATTTTGTCGTCTGCAAAATCGCTGTACGTTTAATTGTGTCAATCATCTCTCTTTCTTGTGTCTTTCATTTATAATTCAGATACGACAGAATCCTTACCTCAAACACCATTTATTAGGAATCTAAACGCGTCATGATCATCTTTACTTATTTCCTATGTACACTTGTGCATCTTGCTAAGACCTCGCTCAACAATAGCACTGTGACTATAGTAATGCACCTATGATTGAATGAAATACAACATTCTGCATGCGCAATTGGCCACGCCCAATGTCGCATACTTAATGGAGCATTTCAATACAGTGGGAATGAACCCGTGATATATTTACAGAACACTAAAAGTATACGTGATGGTTATTATGGGATTTGATAGACAGAAAATGAAAATACGCCCTTTTCTACTACTGAAATATATATGTTCTGAGATTTAAGAAAATGTTGGTTTGCAGATCATTACTGAAAATGGCAATATTTCGTGTAAAATGAACGTGTGTATTATCTTTGTAATAATTTCAAACGTTTACCTTTTTCGTCGTATCGATAGATGTAACGGATGCATACATTATTTGAAACAAAGCAAAACAGACGTCTTCACGTAAATGCGGTATTATTGAGAAAGCAAAGCCTTAAAGTAACATTATAACTCTTTTGATGTTCGATAATATGAAAATGGTCGGCGGGAGATAATCCTGTTTCTTTCTGAACTGCTTTACAATATTTTCACAACTTTATAATTATTTCTTATTATGACTTCGTGCGCAATAGCTGACTACCGATATTGTTTAAACAATTTAGTAAAGACTTATACATTCAATAGTAAGAGTACGTTTAACTTTCTGAAGAAGTAAAACTAAAGGAACATTCAAGTAGAGCTAGATTTCAATCTCAAAAGTGGCCTGGATACCAAAACTAACAAGATACGCCGCACACAATTTTCATGCTATTTACATATCTTCAACATATCCAAAAAATACCCTGAAAGAATTCAAGTGATAAGGTCTGGGCGATTGTTAATAAATCCATCGGCTAGTTTGATGCTTTACTTCTTAGGAGAAAACGAATGTTACGAAAAGAATATTCACCATTTTTGTAGAAGAAAAACGGACACAGTTACAACTTGTACATATTTCCGTTAATGAGACTGTTCAATGAAAGATAATGATGATGATGACGACGACGACGACGACGATGTTGTTGTTGTTGTTGATGATGATGATGATGATGATGATAATGATGAATTTTAGCGCCACTAATTGAACTTTCTTGTGATTATACTTATATTGCAGAAACAACCGGGTCATTCACATTTTGTCCTTCACTGGTTAAAGTAATTAAATTGCCAGATCCTTTCATAACATAGGTGTTTAAGACCGCGCGGGGAATTCTTCAGATCTATTGTACACAATCTACGAATTTCAGACAAAAAGTTCAATTTTTCGTAGACCATTGTGTGCTATCGGTTGGTCTGACGTATTTACAGATTAAGATATGTATAGCTTACCTTTACGACAATTTCGGGCACATTTCCGAAAAAAGAAACCCCCCCACACACAAAAACCCAACATTTTACGGTATCAACCATGAGTTACCTGGTTGCTGCCAGCAGGTTAAACGCGTATTAAATTAAAACTTTTCTTTACAAACCGAAAAATAAATTACGTAGCTGCTTTTAATAGTATTTCAGATTTCATTTTATGGCTTTGTAAGTTGTCCTCTAAAATTGTACTTGCATCTTGGGCATCTGTTATGCCTGCTCGTCGTATTTTATCGAAGCTTGGATTCCAGCTTTCTACAAATTGTATCTATCAGGGCTGGAATCCAAAATTATTTAGCCAATCAAATTTAATCTTACATAGCGTCAAAAAACCTTCAATTTTCACGCCATTTTTAAAAAGCAGCAAGTATTGCTTTGAGCGCAAAGATATAATGATGATTACAATGTTTGTTTTCATGAATTCTTGTCAATAAATCATATTTACACCGACTTTTGATTTAGCGATTTCACCTGTTTTCTCTGTAGTAAGTTTTGTTTGGTTAATTAACATAAGTGTACATCTGGTTCTGTGCATTTTTTCTTTTTCTTTTTTTCCGATCATTTTATCCTTTCCGGTATTTAGGCTGGGGGGGGGGGGAATCCCTGGATCCGGGACGCCGGGGATCCGGGATAGTATTAGATATATA